TGGCAAAAAAGTGCAGGAATGCTAGGTAGGTTAAGCAGTGGTTATTAGAGCAGTCCTCCAAGTCCTCAAGACGGTCCACAACTCCCAACACCTAGGGATGAAAGAAAAATGTGTACCATGTAGGGGTTCAGGGTTTCAGTTTGAGAATCACTGGCCTTACTTTAAGGAACACTACTGTAATTTTCAACCTGAAGTTTATCTGCTGCATCTGTAATGTATGATCAATTACCATGGTCAAAAACAGAAAACCCATGGACTCGAAAAAACACTTATAGTAGAAACCAGTGGGCAGGTGCTGAAGCTGCAAAACAATGGGCTTTTCCCTCTAAGTACCAGGGAACTTGTCAAAAGTATTATCCACAGTTACTGAGTAAGGATGCAAGATGATATCAGTACCATTCGGCTTTGAAAAAAAAAAAAAGAACGGCATCGCACAGATGTCTACATTTTACATTTGATGAGTGTATGTTGTATTGATTGTATGTAATGTATTTAGCAGAATATTTAGGCAACTGTGCCTTTTATTCATTTACTTCGTAATCTTATAGTAATAAATGCTATATATCTCTGTAACGCTAATCGAAATGAACATACTCTCAATTACAACATTTTACAAATGTTGATGTATTGCAATCAGCAGATATGTACATATTGAAAAAAATATTGGACCTTGGACCATCGGGGAGCATTCCCATATCGGTGCAACCCTATAACTGAATGTGCTTCAGATGTAGGTTGAAAAACACCATAGTATTCCTTTAAGCTACATAGTGAAGGAGAAGGTAATTGAAATGCTGGTGTGAATATGAAAGTGCCACCAAACAGAGAAAGGCTGCCTCTCAGGTCTTGCATGGATACGAGCCCAGAGAGGGGGACAACATGGCCGAGGTCCAACACCCATCCCCCAACCACACTACACACACACACACACACACACACACACACACACACACTACACACACGAAAGAGCTGCACACACTCATCCACATAAACATGAACACGCACACAAAGATAGACGTGCATGCACACACTCACTGAAAATCCCTCTTCAGGCCCTGGAGACCACACCTGCACCCTTCTCTCCATACCTCTATCATTCTTCCCTCGCTTCTCCTCTCCCTATTTCTTCCTGTACCTCAGTGCTCGAACAGCAGAGGCCCAAGGCAGCTCTATAGTACTGTTGCTGTTGCTGCAAATGTGACTGTGACCATGACTGTTATTAGTGTACCTTATACACACACACACACACACACACACACACACACACATACACTCTCACACTACTGTATTTTTCAATCTTAGTCTATCTGAGTCTATCTGCTGCATCTGTATACACATATATATGGGTATACTGATGTATCAATGTATTAATAAATTAATATACATAATATCCTGATAAATGGGGAATGTTGATTATCATTGGTCTGAAATCAGAAGTACAGCAGGCAATTACTAGAAATGTGCACAGGTACTTAGGTTGCCTGTTAACCATTCGAGCTGGCTGTATTCGAACACTAAAATCACTAAGTGGGTATTTATTATATTTTGTCACAGTGAGAGGGAGAAGATGAACAAACTTGTATTAGTGAAATGCCAATTTTATGTATTAACAGAACTGTTAAATGTTAAGCATGTGATTGAGAAGCCAGATATAGCATGGCTATATCGCTAAGTAGACTAACTACTCAAGTTGACGTTAACTCAGTCCCGAAATGATAAAAAAAAATATTCCTCTGATAAATACACATTTTGACACATAGCTTTTTTAACTCTTTAGCTCATTTGAGCCAACCTCCAAGTTCCCAACCAACCAAGTTCCCTTGGCTAATTTTGAATAATAAAGCATACTTTCAAATGTATTTTTCTGTGTAGTGCTAAAAGCTGTCTCCTAAAAAAGTAAGCCTAAAGCTCTATATTAATGTCGGCCAAACTTGTTATATATATTTATTTATATTTTGCGTTTCCACATATTTATGGCTGTGAATATGATGGCTGCAGCTGGTGCAGTTGAGCATTCTTGCAGATGAAGCTGATCAATCAGCCATTCTTCGAGTGCCCTCTGCTTCTGACCCACTGCATGCCATGCTACCCAGGAAGCATATGGGCATTTAGCCAGGAAAGAGGGAAAAGCCTCCATCCCCCACTGTGCACAGACATACACATAGAGAAACACACACACATGCTCAGTAGGGCTGTACAAGTTATCATTTGTTAGTCTCTATCGTGATATTGACCTTTGCAATGCTGACATTGCAGAAGGCTGAAACATGCAAATTAGTGGTCTAACCAATCACAACGCTCTTTTGCTCTGCAAATGAGTGTTTCTTTGGTTGTTTTGGGGAATCAAGGTGCTCACATAGTCCAGTAAAAGTAAATCTCACACACACACACATTTTCTAAGCCGCTTCTGGGTCGTGGGGGTAAATCTTTTTGGTAAAAATAATGCAGGCTAATCTTTATTGAAAGACAGTGTCACATTAGTGACATGCAATGCTCACCAGTGCATTTTAATATATTGCAAGGCATATCTGAATTGTAGTAATTAAGAAAGCAACTGGAATACTGGTACTTTGCCAATACTGTGCAGGCAGGGTGAATCCAGCATTTCACTCTGAATTAAACAGTCTTTAATCAGGTCACATTGATTCACCAGTGCATTTTTAACACATAGCAAAAGGAACTGCAATTGCAATAATTTAACAAAGTAATTCCAATACTAGTATTTTGTTCATATTGTGCAGCCAAGGTAAATCTGAATTCCAGAATTCAAGTAATTTTTTTGTCAATATTAAAGGACAGTCTTAGTCACAGGAATTCACCTGTGCATTTTCAAAGGTGAACTACAATCTCAATATGTAGCAGTATAATCACAATACTGGTCCTATGCCCATATTGTGCAGCCCTAATGCACACGCAAAAAAGCTCATCAACACTCACCACCATCAACTCTCCACCAAAGACAGTTACTGCTGGCTGGACATCCAGCCTGTAGCCCCAGTGGGCCCAGTGCGAGAGCGAGAGCGAGCGAGGGAGGGAGAGCGGGAGTGATGGAGGGAGGGAGGGAAGGAGGGAAGGAGGGAAGGAGGGAGGGGGGACCAGCTGCCCGGGGAGCACACATTACGAGATGGAGCTGGAGATAAGTGCTCTCCCCGGCCCCTTTTTCAGCTGCGTAATTAGCACAGTTCTTATCTGCTGCTCAATTCACATTCACACCAGCCATGAATGGGGAGCACAGACATATGCAGGGGGAGAGAACACACACACACACACACACACACACACAGATACATACATGAGCGCACACAGATGCAAACACACATATATGCCTTACACAAGTGCACACAAACGCACAGATACTCTCATACACACACGTTTATTATGAGGACTATTTTTCTAACCAAAAACAGAGGGGTCCTCTTTCGACTGATAGGATAATTCTATGTAAGACTTTTTTTTTTTGAGAATTAACGCACTGGTTTTCTTTCTCTCTCCCACTCGCCCCTCCCTTCGCTTCTCAGCTTTGAACTCATTTGAACAAAAACAGTGGTTTGTGCATCAAACTGTAATTTGGTAAAAGAAAGGTATCTGGCACGATGATCAGTGCAATCAGCAAAAACCCACTGATATTTCCAGATAATTTAGGGCTTTTTAGTCATTTTCCCCCCTTTTTTGCCATCAAATGCAATTTTGAAAATCTTCCACTGTGCATGGAGATATTCGAAACCTTTAATAACGGGCCTCGCCTTGTGCTTCTTTAATTAGTTTTAATAGAGAGAATCAGACGGTAATTTGGTGCACACAAGCCTGTATTCAGCAGAAGGTTGTTCTATGGGTGAGATTATGGTGTGGGCTTTACCGAGAGCCAGTCAGAGACGGGACAATATAAACACGTTTGTTTAACGTTGAAACACTGTCTGCTGTTCACAAGGCCACAATAAAGCACGCCTATGTCATTATGGCAGTAAATTACCTACCTGCTTACCTGCCTGTCTTCTCTTTTATCTTTCTATCTGAGAGGTAAGAGCTTGTGTGCCTCTGCATTGTGACCGTACACAAGTGCCGGACGATATTTTGTCAACCAAGGTGATGCGTTTGCATGTATCTGATCACTGAAGGTCATATACCAGGCACCTGACAAGGTTAAAAGAGTGGTCTGCATAACATTGTTAAAATGGGCACCTTAGTCTTGACTGAGCAAAGGGCTTTTAATCATTATTTGATATTGTCTTGAACAGGTTACAATCTATTTGCTTTATCGAATATTGTATTTCAAATGTTTGTAGTGGGCCGCCACACATATTTTCCAGACATTTCTAGACATAATCTTCAGGTTTTTTATGTTGCTAATGTTTTCAAGATGACACAGTCAGCTATTTTTACCTGATATAAAGAAATAAAAAGATACTGTGCAAAATAAAATTTCTCCATTGTGGCTGTTCTAATGGCATGTTGCTGTTAATCAGCACTTTCAACGAGGGGTGTAATGATGCACTCGGCCCGCAATTCGTTTTGATTGTTGATACTTGGTTCACATCTCCACATTCTCAGGATATTCTGAACAAAACTGAAGATGTATTCATGTTGTTGCACAGCTTATTAATGAACACGGTGGTGTGAGCTGTTGATTGGTACTGGTTGTTTGCAATCTCTGGTCCCCACAATATAACCGCATTCGATGCAGTAATTAACTGAATGTCCGTTCTCCATGATGCACACCATCATATCTTTGCACTGCAATATAACAATGTCACGATGCATTGTCTTTTAAGGCAACTACAACTAAGCAGGCTAACTTTGTAACTGGTTTCTAGTTAATGCTAAAGCTTCAGCCTTCAGGACTTCAACACATAAAGAGGCACTTTACTGTGTTAGGGTATGTTCAATCCAGTTTTGCGTTCTGTAATTTGTTTTTATTTACAAATATGTTGTTATTTTTTAAATAATTCATTCTTCAGAAGCATATGGGTATAGTCACTCTGATCATGTAAGACAGGACATACCTGGCTCTTGGAGGCAGCAACCTTGGCGAACATGGCCTGGGACACCTTGGCCCTCTTCATTTCCTGCTGGATCTCGTCATAGATGGAGGAGTTGATGTTCAAGATGGAGCTCTCCTGCTTGCCGTTCCACTCTGACGGCTGCGGAGAGGGCTTCACCTGGGCAGGGACCCGAGACGCCTTCTCAATACAGCATAGAGGGGGCAGCATTTCAGTAATATTTCCAACAATATCATATTCTAGCACTAGCACAAAAAAAGTTCATTAAATGACACTTCTTCTACAGAGTCATTATTCCAATGGGACTATCATGGCTGTCATATAAAAACCTACTCTTTACACTATTTGAAAACTCCAGCTGCCCTTTACACATTTCATTTAGAACGGTCCAAAACTACCAGGAATTAAATGCTAACTAACAGACGTTCAGCATGATGTTCCCTTCTTCTATAAAGAACCGTTTCAGAAAGATCAGAATGACAGAAATGATATCAAGATTTTGAGGATTTCAATAAGAATTTCTAAAGTTTCCCTTAGGATGTGTATGACATTGCTAGACACAAACTCAAGTGGCGCTGACAGCTCAAAATGTGTAAAATTTGTCATGATGGAGGATCCTGTGAGTCTCTATAATGCAGAGATAAAAATATATACTTACAGGAGAAATGCCCACTGGAATCCTTGGGTTCCAGTCCTCTGGCCTGATATTGTTACATTCTTCTCTTCTGGGCTGCAGACACACACACATACACAGATGCACATTTTAACACATTTAACTCCTCTGAACTGTGCGGGTGAAAACATAGTTTAATCAAAACATCTAATCTAATGTTCACAACACTCTAAATTTGAAATGAAGAGCCTCCCTTCTTGAGAAGAATAATCTGCTTAATGTCTCTTTAGAGGACAGGGACTCTGTTGAACATATTGTAACACCTTTCTTCTAATGATTTACGTCTGGAGCAAAGAGACTTGCGCAGGAGACTGTGGAAACATTGCAGACAGAAAGAAAAGAAAAAACATGTCTCACGCCTACCAACAGAACTGGCGAAAATAACGCTGTCAGCAAGTCGTTTCACAGCCATTCTTTTGCAAAAGCCCAGGCGTCGGGGTTGAGCTGTTTTGTGACCGTATCTAATTGTTAAGGACGGAACATGCACAAACTTGCGTGGCACTGTCTGTCTGACGACCCATTAACGTATGTGGGAGTCATACCTCCACCACCGTTTTTATGATGGCCATAAAAAAAGCTTACAGCACGGTGAGAACTGCCGCCCTGCTGATTTATAGCACCGGGTCCAGTCAGAGTCAGCCTCCATTGCATCGCCTGCATTGGTTGGCATGCGCCACATGCTCTTGCCTTACACAGGCATAGGCTTGGCGCAGGGAATCTCAACAGCCGGAGTAATAACCGCTAATGTAACTCACAATATGGCTGAGATGCATCGAGTATAGATGGCATGAATGCGTGGGTACGTCTTCCTGCCAGGCTGAGACCCATTCAGAATGATTTAGTGCATGAGATGTTTGTATGTTTCTGGCCCGTGCATACACAAGGCTACTCTTTTACATAATCACCTGCATTCGAGTCCTGTAAATTCCATAAACTTTCTATAGTTTTTATATAATATATATAAAAACATGGTTTGCACAGTCCTCTTTTATTGCTGCTGTAATCCTACAATTTCTATTTATTTATTTCAATCATGTCTTTAAATAGGCCTTAGTAGAATCTGACTGATTTGAGGCTGTGCACGCCTGATGAATCAAAGAATCAAGAGCAGTCGCTGAACTAACCAAGTCGGAGTAGCATCTGATGATGGGATCTGAACTGGAAAGCAGCATCTGGTTCACTCCTACACTCTGGTTCTAGCGCACACAGACACACACACACACAGAAGCAAACACACACTTGAGCGAACAGCAATGGCATTTCAGCCTTCGCTATTGTGCAAGTCTCAGTGTGTGTGAATGAGCAGGAGTGGGGCTTTATCCTGAATAAAAAAGCCCTGGCTCAGCCCAACCAGCATAGAAGGGCTTTGTGTCCACTACGACACACTCAAGTGCACTTGAAGGAGTCTGCAGAGGAGAAGTTATCACATACTTTTCTGACTGCTATTTGGGGGCTGTTCAGGGCACGAAAGCATGACTTCTATCTCACATTGGACATTTTTTCACATGAAGGACTCCTGGTAGTGGTGTGCGGTATTAATAAAATTCAATATCACAATATTTTCCAAATATCACAGCATCATGGTGTTTGATTAAATATACATTTCCATTAATGAAGTCAATTAACTTACGCTTTCTGAACACTGAATATTGTCTTAAAAGCCTGAAAAGCTTGTTTCTTTTGGACATTTTTTTTTCTGTTTTCGTCTCTTAAAAATCACACCCAAAGGAATCTCACACAGTTTTGTAAACATTAAGCAGACAGAAAACAAAACTGCAGAAATGAAACTTTACATTTCTTTTCTTGCTTGTATTTTAAAGTATTTTTCCTGATGCACATTGCAGTTACATCCTGAATGTGTAAAGTGCACAACAACAAACTACCTGACAAAAGGAGACATTGCTCTTATATTAAATGTAATGTCAATCGTGTACTGATTGCTATCTGTCAGTAATGCAAAAACTTAAAATCAGTATTACTGATATTACAAAACAGTTCATCCAGCACTAATTTCTGGATACAAATTCCAGTTATATGATTAATGCCAAGCCTAAGTTTTGGATAGCCCAGGAGGGTGGTGGTGTGGTTTGTCACCTGGACAGGGCGTGTTGGGGGCGTGCTGATAAGAGGAGCAGGGCCCATGGCGGAAGCTGCTGTCAAACTCCTCTCTCTTTCCTCCTGGTAGATGCGGTCTCGCTCGGCCTCAGGAAGCTGAAGGAAGTTCTGCATGGCCCTCAGGTTGACCAGAAGAGATTGAGATGCTGTTTTAGGATCCTCCTCTTTTCTCAAGATCTCTGAGAGAAGACCCTGAGAGACAGAAAGAAAGAGAGGTGGGGATGATACAGGGGGAGAGAGAAGGGGGGTGACAAAGAGAGAGAAAGGAAATAAAAGAGAACCTCTGAAACATAAACAGACCAAGAAATTACAGCATTTATAATGTGTACACTTAGACGAATCCAATCCACACAATAAGATAAATCCACCCTATGACCCTATATGATGCTGGACCTTTGACATGTGCAGTGCTGCCCTCTCTAACTTCCCCGAACTTTCAAAAGCCTCCTTCTTATCCTCTTTATCTCCTCCATAATCAAAAAAGGCCACCAAACCCACATGCGCTTTCGCAGTCAGAGACGCCATGACATGTCACCACAAGTACTCTTCATTAAACCGCTGCAGAAGAATGTACAATAAATTTTACAAGAGCTCTCCAAAACAAAAAAAAGGCATGTCGCAAATTCTTTATAGTGTAGATAAATGGGAAAGGCTGCCAATTTGTGCAAAAAACACACAACTCTCCATTCACGCTCCTACTTTCCAATAGATTCTTATCACTTTCACACGACTTCAAAGCCACAGAGAGTTATAATGAGCCTCACAGTGAACCTTCCCTAAAAACTATGCAGAACATCTTCAGACATTATCTCCACGGCTGGCTCCAGAGAAAAAAAAAAACTGTGAGCATGGTGCGGCAGCAGTCCGTGACCGGGCTCCCCATGCGCTGGCAGAGAGCCAGGTACATCTCTCTCTCTCTCACCTGATGACGGTAAACAGTTGTCATGGCACCATGTCTCTACAGGACTCGAAAGCTTATGCTAACGGCAAAGCGGCAAGCGCTTGTGTGAAGTGACAAAGAAGAGGAGAGAAAAAAAAGAATGAGTGGGAGTAGAAGACATTAAAGAAATAAAGTTATAACTAGAGGTTCTGCCACTTTTCAGTGAAACTGAGAGGGGCAAGAGCACAGCAATGTCTCCAGGCCCCAGCTTGCCAAATGTTCCAAATATCTCTCTTTCTGTCCCCTGTTTTCCGTGACAACAGTCTACCCTTGTCTGTTTATTCCCACAACAAACAACATCAAGCTCCCCATCTCGGAGAGAGCATTCCATTGTTGCTGTGTTACCAGAGCCGAGTGATTAGTGTAATATAGCCTACGTGTAGTGACACGTATCAGGCAAACATGTCATAGCTGATGTATGGCATTGGTGTGGTAAGGAATGATTCAGCGTTTTGACAGTCAACAAAATAGTTTCATGGTCAACGACAGAGAAACGTATTCTTAATATTTGTGTATCTGCATACATATTTTTGTTTAAACCCAGAGAAATAGAACAAAGCCATCACGAAGAAAAATCTAATAAGACAAGAGGGATTGGTAATTTAGCACAAGCTATGAAGCTAATGCTCCATCTGCACTTGTCCTATAAGAAAATACCCATTAATTCTTCTTTCAGATTTTTAGTTAACACTTATTAAATGTAAAGCTGAAGTCTATAAATATAAGAAAGACTTTTATGGAAAAAAGTAAAGCAAAATTAACCTGATAAAAACCTCAAACTACACTGTACACTGAGAAATGAATGCTCTGAACTTACTTGAAAAATACAATTATGCATAGTCGTCATACAGTATGACAACTGAAAGACAAATGGTGATGATGACACGCATTTGAACAAAGTAAATTCAATGAAATTTTCGTCTAGCCATGCAATTGTTTGAAGATTTCAACCATTACTTTGTTAGTACCTGTGTCCTGTTGAAAGCCACGCGGGCGAACACAGCCTGGGAAATACCGGCCCTCTTCAGCTCATCTCTCACCCACTTGTAGATTTCGGAGGACACCTCTGCATTGGAGGACACTTGCGAGTCCAGGGGCTTGTTGAGTGCGCGGCTGACGGGTGGGTGGTTCAGGTACTGCTGGTTGAGGGACTGCTGGGCCAGGAGCCGGTTGACGGCATACTGCTGGTTCAGGATCTGCGCCATGACGATCTGCTGGTTGACCAGCTGCGGGCTGATGGGGGTAGACACCAGGCCAGGGTGCAGGCCAGGCAGTTGTGCGCGGCCTGGGGCCTGACCGCTGTGTGGCAGGGGCACAGGGGATGGCGGCTGCTCTGCTGTGCTACCAGGGATGGGCTGCTGACTGAAGCTCAGGTGGTTAGTGCCAGGTGGGGAAAGGTCCGATAAACCGTCCATTTCAGCTAAAATCATGGAGACACAGAGAGGGAGAGAGAGAGAGGGAGAGAGAGAGAAAGAGAGAGACAGACAGAGAGAGAGAGAGAGAGAGAGAGAGAGAGACAGACAGACAGAGAGAGAGAGAGAGGGAGGAAAGCAAGATGTGTTATTTCTAACAGTTCAGACCGTGCATTGGCGCAGAGAGGAGTATAAAATCAATGGCTGCAGGGAATGTCTTTAGTCAAATAGCAGCTACTTAAACTCTTAAACTCTCAGGGACTGTATGTGGTCCTAGCTTCAGTTTAGGGCTCGATTAATCGACTAAACTTGATTGTCTGATTTTTAAAAATCCTCAATTAAAATTTACTTTATTAATAAATCAGAAGTAACTGATTGCCAGGTTTCATGATAATGGATATTTTAAATTCTTCAACTGCCTTCTTTACATTAGGAAATAGAGCCTGAAGTACATGATTATTTTCATGCATTTTTACTGCAGTGTTTTCATATATTTTGGGTGAAGTATATTCCTAGTTTATCTTTTTCCAGTGAAGTATTTTGGAATTTTCAAAAGGCAATGCATGGTTTGTAATTGTTCAGTTAAGCCAGTTTTTATCTGGCCAGTTTTGCCTTAAAAAAGGAATTGTTAAAATAATGGCTAAATTATGTTACACTATTATAAAAGTCTTCATGTTATTAACTGAATAATAAGCCTAGGGTTTTTTCATTTATTCTAAGGGGTTAAACAGCAAAACTTTAAAAGACACTCGTGTAAAAAGACTGTGTGATTGAAATAAAAAACACATAAAAGTCACATAAAGGATTTTAAACTGCAGAAGATATATCACATCTGATTCTGGGTTTGACATATGATTGAATTACAACACAGAGAACACAAAACCCCATAAAAACAAATAACCTGCTATATGATAAAGACTTCAGTAATATATATTAAATCTCTGCGCCACTACTATGCATGTTCTTCAGGCTGGACCACCCTAGCCAGGAGCTAAAGGGGCTCAGTGCGTGACCTGCATCTACACAAGTTGGCAGCTTCCGAAATTAGTTTATAATGTCCATGGCCCAATCATGTGAGCAATAACAACAAGCCAGTGTGGCCTGCTGTCTAAAGTGGTGGGTGGGGGGAGTCCTTACATGCGTACGGCCAGCCGCTGGTGCATTTGAATCGCCCTTTATGCTCTTAATTTTCAAACAAGGTACACAAGCTGGCCAATATGAAATTTCGGGAAAGTCTAAATATAGCCGGAGTCGGAGCAGAGACGGAGGCGTTTGGATCCCAAAACCAAGCCCTCTCGTTTAGGCTAGCCCTGACAAGACCAAGAGAATAAGGCAGCTATTTGATGCTGTTGATGGTATTTACTGTCATAAATATCGCAGCCCTTTTTAATTGACGAGTGCGAGGCCGCAAAACAACGGGCTGGAAAATCTGAAAATGAAAAGGTCTGTTGTGCACGCTGAGATTTAAGTGGGGACCGGAGTGTTACGGCTCCTTCAGACGTTCGGGGCGTATTACTTTAAAAGGATTTGTTTAAATAAGGAGAAATTAAAACGTTCAACACCTACAAGCCCAGGGATTGCAGCATTCCAACTCAGCGCAACTCTGGCAATAATTTTACCAAACCCCCATTTTGGGCAAATGTGAATTATGGCAACTTATCAAAATATAAATGTTTCAATAGGAGATAAAAAAAACAGATTAAGTGCATGGAATCTCTCCAGAAATACATACAATAATCACAGGAACACAAGCATGTGTCTTTACTGACAGCCAACACAAAGGAAGCCATGGCTGTTCCTTTCAGTATCGGGAGAAAGTGTGGGGGGGGGGGCTCAATAATAATCAAAGCTTTCTCATAATCCTCCTCATTTCAGCAGTCTGATACTACGGTGTGCCTTTCGGTTCCCATTTTTACCATAGAAAACTGCTGGGGGGCACATACACACACACATACACACAGCTTTTCCATGCAAATTGAAAGACGGGAGAGAAAAGTGTTTGCAGGCCACGCTGTAGCAGCGAGCAGCAGACACACAACAAGAGTTCCTTCTGTGGAATCTGGCACCAAGCGGGCCGGGATTAGCAGTACAATAGTAGAGGGGGATGTGGGCTGGTAGAGAGAGCGAGAGAGAGACAGACAGAGAAAAAGAGAGAGAAAAAGAGAGAGAGAGAGAGAGAGAGAGAGAGAGAGGCCCTGGTATATCTCTGAGAGAACAGCAGGACTCCAGCCCACTCCACTGCTGCACAGTCAGACAACGCTTTCACACACACAGGCACACACACCTCCCTGCACTCCACAGGAGTGGCTCCTTAAAGTGACCTGCCTCTCACTGTCCTCTCACAAAAACACCGCAACATAGGTGGCTAAACCGCGCCAACTCTGTCTAGCCTTGGTAAAACCAAGATTCTAAAACAGTGGTCATCAGTTCCAGTCCTGGCCAACTTTAATCTAGTACAGTTTGGTGATTTTCCAGCTCTAACAAGCCTATTATATTTCATAAAGCCTTGGATACACTACACGACTTATGAAGTCCTAATAGATTATAAAAAGACTGGGTCTCTTGTTGAGTTTGTTTGGCGACTGATATCATAAGCGTTGAAAAAGGTGACAAGTTCAGAAACCAGTCCCCTGAATCAGGGTCTGGGGGCACTGTTCCTAGGAGAAAACTGTCATGATTTTAACACGAAAATTCTGGCACACCTTGAGTTCAACAATTATGAAAACACAAGGCATGTTCAAAAACGGTTCTGTTTTCCAGGTACTTTGACTTATTTGTTAAAGATCTATTGCCTACCAAAAATTCTAAGTGTATGAAATTTGGCAGATCTTTTTTTGTGAGACCCCAAAGTCCACTTTGCCTATCATTTGTGTTCTACTGGTTCCAAAATCATGTAGCATGCTTGGGCCCCCTTGATCGCTACTTGCAATGAAATCTGTAGACTGCTAGTAATTCTCTACATAATTCACATGAATGTCATTTCCATCACTGAACTTGGGACCACACACTACACAACTTTTAAGTTGTTGCCAAACTGAACTCACATGACCACACTCTCCTGTTTCTAAGAGACATGGATAAACCAAACGTGGAGCAGCTTGCTGCTATATGCACTGACAGAGTTTAAAAAAAGCGTGCAAAGTTGAGGTTGTGGATGTAAGTTGTGACCAGTGTGGTAGTTTTTAGAGCTTCTGATGTGCATACAATTGATCGCGCTCCTGTCTTAAAGTCAATTCATTAAACAGGGCTGCTACACATGAGAATGTCTGCTTGGCATTATTTATTAGCTGTATTTACAACTTGCTCTCAGAGAGGGGACGAAAAAAAATCAAACATGTAAATACTCAGAAAGGCCTGAAACTAAATCGGGAGGCAAAAAATCTAGCACACTACTTGATTTTTACTCCCAACTGTCAATTTTGACTACACCAAAATCTGCAGACTAAAGCCAACCAGCCCAGACTTGGCCAGACTGAGAATCAGGGCTAATCAGGGTAAAAGTCATGTAGTGTAACCCCAGCTTAACTGCAGAGGGGTACGTTTGAGCAGGACCAGAATTGATCCACCCATGCTCCACCCACAAAAATGTTCTTTTGTAATTGCAAGGTTGGACAGGCTTTAGAGAGCACTGGCAAAAATCCCATGGAACCTAATCTGTAGTACAGTCAAAATAAGGAAATTTAGAGTGCATTATTAATTTCAAATGATATTTTTTCATTTCGTATTCATCTTCATTAGGTTGAATGGGACATTCTGTTACGACAGATTGTATGTTTTGGTGTTGTGTGATGAAGCTAATGTTAGCATGGTGGCAAATCTGTCACTTCCACTAGCCTGCCATTCAATTTGCTGCAACATAGTCCAGCGTAACATTTCAACTGTAAACTCAACAATGTAAACTCTTATTGGGACGAATGGCAGTTCTGCAAAAGTTCTGTGAAGTTTGTCCAACTAACAGTTGCTATGAAAGAATGCATGTGTGGGTGGAGCATATTTGACGGCCTCTGGCAATGACCATGCACAGTGACAAGATTCATTTGCTTCTGAACACATCACACTGTTTTTTGCTGATTTTGCTGATTGTGTGCTATTATTGTGCAGTATAATATTGTACTTTGGCACCCCATGTGTGCTGAGGTACAAAAGACCTAGATGAACGGCTCTCATGCCCCGCGAGCGTCAAAAGAACCCCTCCTGCTCTCATGAATATTAAGTTCTAAGGAGGGTTGCCGTGGGCAACAGCCGGCTGGTGGGGTGTGCGGTGCTGTGGCCCCGAGTGTGTCACGTGACCTACCTACTGTGGTGGCACGTGGGCTGTCGTGGAGGACGCACGTCCCCAGGTAGCCCTCCAGCTGGGAGGGTTGGCGCATGACTGCGCGGGCACACACACATACACACACAGGTGTGGAGAGAGATAGAGAGTGTTAGTGGGATGGCACATGCACGTGCGCTGGGGGGTGTGGGGGGGGTGGTGGTGAGGGGGCAGATGTTACATAGAGTGTCACTGTAGGAGCCTAAATACACCAGTGTGACTTACCTTGTGTGTGCTTTATCAGACTGTGTGATAAACACTATAAACACTATGAAGGCCCAGATCCTGACTTGAGGTAACATGGGTTTTAGTATATTTTCTAAGAAAACTCTTAGACATCTCTAAACAAATCCTGACTCTAAGGGATGTAAATATCTGACCTCACAATTATGACTCAATTATGATTTTTTAGGAAATGATTTAGTGCATCATGAAATCTCATCATGATTCTACAAGACTAGATTCTTTTAGTATTGTTGTATTAACAGTGTATTTGTAAAATAGATGTACACATGTATATTTATATGTGGAATATAGACTATAAAAACAACATATCAAGCTGAGTGCATATATTATTGAATAGTACTAAAAAAATATATTGTAATTGATTTAAGCATTCCGAAATTGATGCAGTTGAACTGACATCAGTGACTCCTACAATATACCCCTACTGACTCTGCTGACTTGAGTCTTAATGCAGACTTTGTTTTCGCTTAAAGTTCATAATTTAAGCGAATCTTGACCTGGTGCCTATGTAAATTTTTTGTCTTGGCACAGGAAAAACTAAAATACGTGCAGCGCAGCCTATAGCCATACTATAGTATCGCAAGTGCATGCATTAATTTAATTTAGGATTCATCCCTAGCACAGCAAGCTGAAAACATGAATTATTTTTATGAATCTGGAGTGAGAAAGAATGTTTGTTTACATTTAGTCTGCTTCAAGCAAGAATGATGTACTTGTAAATGAAACTTCTGGACTGCTGAACATTTAACACTAGAATAACATCTACAGAGATGCAAGGTTACCATCTCTTCATACTGGCCATTTGCTGTAATCTACCTTATGCATAGGTACACAGTTACTCTTTAAGCATCCATTAGATCATTACAGAAAGGCAAAAGGGAAGCAGTTTGATTATTTTTGCTGCTTTGCTTTGCAGTCCTGGCTTATTATGTGTAGGAAGTTAATTCCTAGTGCTACTGCATTCAACCTGAGCTCCTAATTTTTTATCTGAATTTTCTATCTGATACTAAAACAATGCTCTTATTGTTGTTATACATAAACAGTTATCTGCAACAGTTCCAGATAGTCACCAGACATGTTGAAATGTGGCCTCATTTTAGGCTGCACTGCTCATTATTTAGTGTGATTTCATGTATAAGCTGTTTACCTCTAATATCTACAATTAACAGAGAAAACAGGTACCTCTGTTGTAGAAGAGATCATTAGAAGGAACAATTCCTGTGATTTTTTTTCAAATGCTGTAATTACTGTAATGCTGATGCACACACATAGGTTTTCAAGTGAAAAACAAGACCCTGAAACACATGGAAATTAACCATAAGGTCATCAGAGAGGGGTCATATTTGCATCAAACTATTAGCTAGCTTATGGTAATATGTTTACACGGCCTTTACCAAGACTTAAGTTGCATGCAGCCTGCTAGAGTCAGGATTTGGCACAAGGCTTAAGCGAGAGAGGTGGAAGCAGAATGATATGAGCACTCTAAGTCAGGATCTGGCCCTGAATAAACAGAGCTAATGAACATATCTAAGGGTGGTACACAGTATTTTCAAAAAAAGAAATAATCAACACAAAATAAAACAAAAAAAATCAAAAATGTATTTTGACTCATTATTCAAGTCATTAAATAGTGAGTAAAAATCTCCATGTCCATAGAAAAAAAACACTACACTACACTAACGATACATCCAATAACAGCAGGTATAATGGGACAAACAATAGAGAAACACAATGCTGTCCTCGTTTTGCTTACCCATCATATCTTTTGTCTTCTTGAAATGTTTATACCAACGTCCAAATTCCTGACACTTCGCCGCAGACACATTTGCATAGTAAGTACTGTTCACAATGGAGGATATCATGCTCTGGAGGAGAGAGAAAGTGAGGGAGAGAGAGAACAGCATAAAATAGTGTTGAGTTTCTGCTTTGCTAGAAATCACCTTAACATTTTCTTAACGTTACATGCAGTAATACAGATTACATACAATGCATGCTACGTTTTGGTGCAGAAGCTGACACAAATTCGTGCACAAATTTGCCTTCTCAATATAGAGAACTCATTCAGAAAACCAAAACAGCACACGTCCCTTTATACCAAATGGCCCAGAGTTTGAGAGACAGTCTGCCACGTAAGATGAGCTTCAGTGAGAGATAAAAAAACACACCAGCCTTGTATACAGGAAGATTTACTTTCCAGATAGCTAAACAGATGATGCACTGGGGATTTCTTCCCTACACTAATGCAACTCGCAGTCACAATCTGCTGTAAAAGCCAATGGAGTTGGTAGAGGGGCCACACTCTCCTCTTGCGTTGCTCACCCCTCAATTCACCATTTATCCTTTTCATTTTGATGTGTTCCTCACAAACAAGCCCTGATTCCGTTTCATTAAGCCTAACACTTAACACTTTAATGGCCCGGGGCTAAGTAACACGCACACAAAAACTGTTTGGATCGTTATAAATATTCAAGAGACAAAAACATCTGTTTTACTATTACAGGTATGCCGGCTTTATCATTTGTATAATATGAGCACTGGGGGACGATATGTGAGGATGGCTGCAGTTTCAACCTTAATCTTTTCCAAACAGCGAGTTTTCTGCTTTGGAATGCTGTCTCCATTTTTGTTTATTTTTTTACACTATCTGAAAACAACAGCTACCCTTTACATTCTGTGATTTCATTAAGAATGGACCGTTGGAAATGGTCCAAAATTACTTGCTACATTAACTTAAGAACTTTTTTTTCTCCTACAAAGTTACCATTCTGGAAATACAAGGTTTTGAGGTATATGCAGATACAATATACAGAGCACAGGCCACAGCTTTGCATGCTGGAACAAATCAAGAATCATTTAAGAACAGTCAATATTTTAAAGACATGCTGTTGTCTTGTATAGTGTGCTGGGTGTTGGGTTTCACATGGAGCAGGAGACAGCGGGTTAACAGCTCAGCAAAGGCCAAGGCTGTGTATGCTTGAGAGGGACAATTAACCTTTATTGCGAGTGCGCGTGCAGCTGGAGAGATGAAGAGTATGGAGAAAAGCGCAGGCAAAATGAAAGAGAGAACCTTCTGCAAAAACTAGAGGTGCAGCAAATACAATGACATATAACACTGTTTATTTTCTCTTTACCCAAAGACTGTACTTTGGCTTAAATAAACCCACTGCTATGAAACACAGAAGATAGTTAAGATTGGCTGGCTTGCAATATTTATATCCTAAAATTGCAAAATGGATTGACCAATGTAAAAATAATTTGCCCAAAGGCTGACTGTCAGTGAATACTGGTCAATTCCAACCGTGCACTGCTGGCAAAAACCTTGAAAAAATGCTTCTCTCACGGCCTGACATAGTGGCCTACTTGCCACCCCTATGCTCAGGAGAACAACTTGTTTCTTAAAATTATCAGATTTCCTTATCATTCATCTTCAAAAATGATGAACGCCCAGATTGCCCCACCAGATCAACAAGAATCTGCCTTCGACGTCATCTGCACCGCACTCTGATAAGAAACGAGGCTGAAGAGAAGAGGGCTGAAATTAAGATTTATACTGAAACTGATTAAAAAAGGTGTATGAATCATTACAGTAAAAATGTGCTGCATCCTTCATTGGGGTGACAGCAGTGTGCCTGTTGTGTCGGGTGCCGTAACTGCATCCATCTCTCCGAATGCAAAGGCTGGCAGAAGCCGCTTTTGACACAGATGTTAGGATAAATATCGTTCATTAATCACCCGTCTCGCACGCAGCATCGCACCCCATCTCCCAGAGAGTCGCCCGCTGAGAGAGAAAGAGAGGCGGGTAAAAACTCGGGTGGGCCAGTTGCCGCCATCAACAGGTAAAATGGGATGAGTCCGGGCCCCTTTAAATGATAAACATCTGCAGGCCTTATCACAGTGCCCAGGAAGTCTCGCTACAGCGCTATCACAGCGATCTGCACGGCTTTCCGTCATGGGAGCAGAGCACGAAAACGGCCAGCGCTGCTGCTTTCTGCCATTGCTTTCCATTCTCTCTCTGTCTCTTTCTCAATCTCTCTCACTCAACTCCCTCTCCTTCTATGTAACTGTCACTTTCTCAATCTCTCTCATTCACCATCTCTCTCTCAATCACACATCCTAAATGTAACTCTTACTCTCTCTCTCTCTTTCTGTAACTCTGACAGAATTTCTCTCATCCTCTCTCTTTCTCTCTCCACCACTACTACTACTATAAGCCTACTCCATTGTGTGGGAGGCCTGGGTTATTCCCCCTTCAACAATCTTAATTATAGCTTCTTTCCAACACCAACAAGCATGTAACGTGTTTGTGTGTGGTAAAGGGCTACTGTAGCCGCAGTGCTTTAGGCCAGTCGCTCCCAAACCTGGTCCTGGAGTACCACTGCCCTGCACATTTTCCATTTTACAGTTTACCTGCTATTACACAATCACTTAAACTCAAAAAAGACTCATTATTAAAGGAATACTCCAGCATTTTTCAATGTAATCTCTATTCATTGCATCTGTACTGTCAATCAACACTAACAATCATTTAAACAAATTTCCCCATACTTACAAAGAGAAAACTGACAGGAAACTGATTATTACAGAAATCAGTGGGCAGTTGCTGAATTCTGTGAGTAAATGTTTGAAATATAGGACTGAATAACCCATATTTATTTATTACCACAGTGATTTTTATGAAGTTTTATCTATCTATCGGACACTAAAGGAAAAAAAGAAACAGTCTGCTTTCATTTGGGTTTGCTGGTATCCATGGTGATTAGATGGAGACTGTGAAAACTCCACCCACCACCTTATGCTGTTAACGTAATAACTCTTAAATCTTCCCTCTAAAAAAGTAGCCATATCTCTGAAAAAATAAACTATACAGATTTACAGCTTTTATGTAGAACGTTCACATTACATCTTTGACTGAACAACTAAAACGTAATTCTACCGATTTTTCAACATTTCTGCATAATTAAATCGTAAAGGTGCAAAAAATCATCCATGGTGGTTTGACGTGAAATGCTCCATTCCAGAAAAAACTTATCAAGTCTTATCAAGAATCAGTCACAGTGGTAGTGATAGGAACCAGATGTTCGAACCATTTAATGCTTCCAAAAGCTACCTCACAGAAAATGATTACTTTAAATGGCTACAAATACACTGCCTGCTGTCTGAAACATTGTTTTACAATAGTTCTGAGAACGATTTGGCCTAAAATATATTTTTAAAACTGTATTCATGGCAAAATTACAACCAGGACAGTGTAAAGGAACAATAGTCCCAAAGAAAACTTTTTTTTTTCAGATTTATCACTATTCTA